CCACCACCACCACCACCACACCACCACCACCACCACCACAACACCACACCACACCACCACCACCACCACCACACCACCACCACACATCACCACCACCACCACCACCACCACCACCCACCACCACCACCACCACCACCACACCACCATCACCACCACCACACCACACCACCACCCACACCACCACCACACCACCACCATCCACACACCACACACCACCACCATCACCATCACCACCAACCACCACATCCACCACATCACCACACACCTCCCACCACCCACACACCATCCATCACACCACCACCACACCACCACCATCACCACCACACCACACCACACCACCACACCACACCATCCCACCACCACCACCACAACACCACATCCCACACCCACCACACTCACCACCACCACCATACCACCCACCACCACACCACCCCACCACCACACACCACCACCACCACCACCACCACACACCACACACACACCACATCACCACCACCACACCACCACCATCACCCACCACCACCACACCACCACACCACCACCACCACCACACCACCACCACCACCACCACCACCCACCACCACCATCACCCCACCACCACACCACCACCACACCACCACCACCACCACCATCACCACCACCATCACCACCACCACACCACCACCACCACCACACCACCCACCACCACCATCACCACCACACCACACCACCACCACCACCACCACACCCACCACCTCCACCACCACCACCACCACCAACCACCACCACCACCACCCCACCACCATCACCACCACCACCACCACCACCACCACCACCACCATCACCACCACCACCACCACCACACCCACACACCACCACCACCACCACCATCACCACCACCATCACCACCCACCACCACCCCACCACCATCACCACACCACACCACCACACCACTCACCACCACCACCACCACCACCACCACCACCACACCACCACCATCACCACCACCACCACCACCACCACCACCACCACTCACCACCACCACCATCACCACCACCCACCACCACACCACCACCATCACCACCACCACCATCACCACCACCCACCACCACCACCACCATCACCACCACCATACCACCACCACCACCCACCATCACCACCACCACCACCACCACCACCACACCACCACCACATCCACCACCACCACCACCATCACCACCATCACCACCACCACCACCACCACCACCAACCATCACCACCAACCATCACCACCACCACACCACCACCACCACCACCATCACCACCACCATCACCACCACCACCCACCACCACCACCACCACCACCACCACCATCACCACCACCACCATCACCACCACCACACCACCACCACCACCACCACCACCCACCATCACCACCACCATCACAACCACCATCACCACCACCACACCACCACCACCACACATCACCACCACCACCACCACCATCACCACCACCACCACCACCACCACCACCACCACCACCACCACCACACCACCACCACCACCACCACCACCACCACCATCACCACCACCACCATCACCACCACCACCACCATCACCACCACCATCACCACCACCACCACCCCTGCTGCTGCTGACTTCAAGAAGTTTCTGTCTTCTGAACACTTCACCACCTTTATATAGCCTCTGCGGTTAATGAGCGAAACATTATTTTTCCTCTGTATAATGAACACATAAGATAACAGGCAAATTCTGCAAACTTCTAACGAATACATACATTACTGTGTATAGCCCAGACAGGTTTAGCGCTTCACATAAATTATCAAGAACACGTATACCCTGTGTTTGTCAGGTGTTTTTTTCATGCAGTGTAATACGTGGTATTTCTCCACAACCTGTGTTTAAATATTCTCTTGCTAGTCTCTTTTGTGAGGCACTGACGTCCTCTCTTCTTTTTATTCTCATTTATAATGAGATTTCAGTACACAAATAAGCCGCACACAGGAGGTTTCCGACCATTAACTAGCCACCGCTATTAAAAAAATAAGAAAAATGTGCTAAATCGTTATTTTATTGCATATCTCGACGATTCACAGAGGCTTGATGCACTTTTTGACATACCACTTTTTTTTTCAGCTGAAATACGTAAATTATCACACTGCCATTTTTATTCTTTATCATAAGAGTTGTTATATTTTGCAATATTTGTTACTCACACTGATCTCTTGCATCGCACGCTACTCGTCGTCTGCATTATGTACAAAGACAAAAATATTGCAGTATGTTTACACTGCTTTCTCCGCAACTTAAGACCCTCATCTTTTCCTCTCCCAGCCTCTCTCTCTCTCTCTCTCTCTCTCTCTCTCTCTCTCTCTCTCTCTCTCTCTCTCTCTCTCTCTCTCTCTCTCTCTCTCTCTCTCTCCTACACTCCCACCCTCTACCTCCCTCCCTGTCGCCCTAGGAACTCTCCCTGCCTTTCTCACTGCACTTATCAGACACCAGCAGACGTCTTCACGATTTCCTGCCTTCGATGTGAGAAGAAAAAAAAATCTCACGATTTCTTATTTTTTTTTACATTTTTCCTTGTCTTTGCTCGAGTGAGCATGTGAGATCTTTAGTTAGTTGAATAGGCCGTCCTACTAGTGCAGGAATTGTTCTTGAGAAGAGATAGGTGGTGTGTGTGTGTGTGTGTGTGTGTGTGTGTGTGTGTGTGTGTGTGTGTGTGTGTGTACTTACCTATTTGTGGTTGCAGAGGTCGAGTCTCAGATCCTGGCCCCGCCAGTCTGATGGCTGCAACTGGTTTTACACTTTCATGGCTGCGTGAGCCCTATTATACCCATTCTTAACACTATGTAATGGTTTCTGCCTGTACCAGTTCGCTGGTTTCTGCGTTGTTAGCATTTAAAATCGATTAAATTTCCTCATATAAAATTTTCCTGGTGTGTACTGGAGTGGGTGAGTGAGGGAGTGAATAAACCAGAGAGTGAACGAATGAGGCAGTAGATGAGTGAGAGTAAATGAGGTGTAAGTAAATAAAGGAATGATAGTCTCAGTTTAGAGTTAGAGACAGAGATAGATAGATGGAGAGAGAGAGAGGGAAGGGAGGGAGGGAATAGTGAACATTTGTATTGGTGGAGAGTGGTGGTGAGGGAGTGATGACGCCTTACTCCCGCTCCTCCCCCACACTCCACACACATATCTGCTAAATTGGCCAGCTCAGTCTGGCCATAGTGGACATGTCTGGCTCTACTCAACACGCCCGGTCCACACTGGACACCCGTTGGCCATAGTGGCCACGTATAAGTCTCAGTGTAGGCGCTGGCCTTGGCCAAAGCACATCCTCTGCCAACTTTCACTGAGATACCATCACACTACAACATGTCACCACTGCCACAACACATAGCAACACTACTACAACACCTGTCACCACTGCCACAACACATAGCAACACTACTACAACACCTGTCACGACTGCCACAACACATAGCAACACTACTACAACATATATACAACACAATACAAGTCAACACCAACACAACACATGTCAACACCATCACAACACATGTCAACACCAACACAACGCATATCAACACCACCACAGCACAAGTTAACATCACCACAACACATGTCAGCACGACCACAGCACATGTCAGCACCACCACAGCACATGTCAACACCACCACATGCCAACACCACCACAACACATGTCAACACCAACAAGACACATGTCAACACCACCTGAATCAGTAATGTTAATAAACTTGAATAATGTTTCGTGTGAATGATCTGTGTTTATATATTGTGTTTAATATTTTTGATTCATTTTAGTGATCCAAACTGCATCATATAACTTAGGATTTCCAGAATATTATACCAATCGAGTGCGAGTTGTGTGACATCTTGAGATGTGTAGTACACTTATATCGTAGAAAACTGTAACTCTTTACTGCTACAGTTGACTGTATCAGTGCAATTTACTGCACTGTATTAGTGATGTATCGAATATCCGAATCCGCGGAACATCCGCACAATTTTTTACGTCCGCATCCGCATCCGCATCCGCATCCGCAAAATAAGTAAGACATCCTCATTCACAACCGCATCCGCGGATATCTAAATTTTCACATCCGATACATCTCTACATGATTGTATGCTTGTCTCTATATCTTTACCAAGCTTGTCTTAAATGCAAGTGTAGCTCACAGACAAGTCTGACAGCCTGGTTGACCAGGCAAGCAGCAGATTATCCTGGTCCTGGGCCGGGCTGCAAAAGTAGAGAAACTCTGGAACCCATCAGAGGCATATCAAAGGTAAGGTCTAAATCAGATACTGTGTTAATATATCATGAACACACAGCACCTTGGTCACACTGGAGAGCTGGCCTTCTCTCAGTGCAACAGGATTTTTAATAATTTATATATGTATTGTGTTGGTATTATTTTTGTGGTGGGAAGAAATCAGTATAAAACGCGTGATAACACATTTGAGCTAATATCAGTATATAACAAAACAACGCTATTGTGTTTGTTCACATCTCTAGTGGAACAAGTTACTCTGAATATGTGTCACCAGGCGCCGCTGTGACCCTTACTGGTTTACCATTTACCCATGAAGATAATAATAAAGAATAAAACGGTACAATACCGTGATTGGAACAACACACAAACAACTCGCACATAGGAGAAAGAAACTTATGAAGACGTTTCGGTCCGACTTGGACCACTAACTAGTCACACAATAATAATAATAATAATAATAATAACTAATAATAATATTAATAATAATAATAATAATACAAATGCTACTAATAATAATAAGAACTTGTGAAAATACTGTGTATATTATATTTAATATTTTATGTATTTTTATATAATTATATAAGATTTATTGGTTGAACCTTGATAAAAGTGACTGAATGTATTGTCCAATACTATGCTGGGTTAGTGTTGTGTTTTATGTAGCGTCAAGCACTGTGCTGAGTAGTGTATTCCTGGAGAGTGAAATGTGTTGTGTAGGCTCACCTTGACTTGAGACTCTGTCATGCCCAGAGCGTAGGCCAGCTTGGCCCGCTCGGGACCCGCCAGGTATTTAGTCTGCTCGAAAGTCTTCTCCAAGGCGAAGATCTGCTGCCCGCTGAAGGTGGGTCGAGTGTGCTTCTTCTTGCCATCTTTGTCCATGGTCATGCCCGGCAGACCTGATGGAGGAACAACCTTGTTAATGAGGCTTGATGGATAGCTAGGTGTCAGTCGACTGCTATGTGTCGCTTCCTGGAACAAAATTGACCTAATTTGCCCGAAATGCTCTGCATAACAAGGGGCTTTCTATATAGTAGTATGTCACTGATGTCAGCTAGGCCTGTATACCTTGCATATGTACTTGTAGAAATAAAAGATATTACGTATTATTATTATTATTATTATTATTATTATTATCTGTATCCGAGGGGTCATTATGGCTGCATATCACCTGTTTACTATCAGTCAAGAACACTTCAATTTTATTGGTCTGTGAAGTTTAGGATTCATTTGCCATATGTTCAATTCCCCACCTGTTCCTTGATTTATATTGAATCAGAGTAAACTCTAAATATATGTACCTTTGCTGAACAGGATCCCAGAAGGGGGTCGAAATACACAGATCAATCAATCTGAGTTTGTCTCCATGTGGGTTATTATTAAGTAGTGACAAGTGTTCATTACACTTTAGTTATTCATGTACTTCTAAGTATATTTACTCTAAGTATATGTGCTCTGAGTATATGTGCTCTGAGTATATGTGCTCTGAGTATATGTGCTCTGAGTATATGTACATCTAAATGTGGATAAACCTTATGTCTCTTCCCCCTCCCTCAGCCGCTATCACCTACCACTCTTTCCCAGAACTCTTCGTGAGTCAAACATTCCTTGGAATTTTAGGACTCATTCGCCATGGGTTCAACCTCCCACCTGTTCCGTGGTTTGTTTTCAGTTGTGTCATTACCATTTCGTGAGTTAAACATACCTTTTAGCAAGGGTATACCGGCAAGGATGGAAATATTGGGCGTGTTTCCTTACACCTGTTGTCCCCGTTCACCTAACAAGTAAGTTAGTCGACTGGTGTGGGTGGCATCCTGGAGGACAAGGTTTAAGGACTTCATTGGAAATAAGACAGATAGTCCTTGATGACACACTGACTTTCTTGGGTTATCCTGAGTGGCTGACCCTCCGGGGTTAAAAATCCTAACAAATCTTATCTCTTAAGTCTCACAGGTTCCTGTGTGGCCACATACTCTTATTTCTTAAAGATTCACCAGCTTATTCTCTGAGGTCATGGATGTTCCTTGTCCTTGCCTGGAAGTTCTCCATTGCCTGGTGAAGGGAGGCAGATGTGTCCATCTTCTCGCAGACCTCCAGACACCCACCTCCAAGTGCCTCTTACCCGCAGACATCATTTTACCAGCGATAACCACCAGCTTCCCACTCTGACCTCCCTCCCTGTCTCCGCTCCGACCTCCCTGTCTCCCGCTCCGACCTCCCTGCCTCCCGCCCTGACTGCGACATCTCTGCCTTCCACCACGACCTCCCTGCCTTACGCTTCGACCTCCATGCCTCTCGCCACGATTTCCCTGCGTCCCTCCCCGACCTCCCTGCCTCCCACTGCGACCTCTCTGCCTCCCTGCCTCCCGCCCCGACCTCCCTAACTCCCACCCACTAAACACATTGGTCACAACAACCTCGCGACAAGAGAGGAGGTGGCACTGACGAGGGCGCAAGCGTAGTTGCACGTGCATGTGCTCCCCCCGCACGTGGCAGCCGCGTGCGGGGGGAGCCATCAGCCCCTCGGGTAATGTATCAACTTCCCGGGGAGGTCGGCGCCACCAGCGGCCGGATTTGACGCCAAGTTAACACAAATGTCGCCAGGGAAGAACTTGATAAACCTCCTTGTTCACAGCGAAGTGAGAGGGGGTTCAGTGAGGTGAGAGGGGGTTCAGTGAGGTGAGAGGGGTTCAGTGAGGTGAGAGGGGGTTCAGTGAGGTGAGAGGGGGTTCAGTGAGGCGAGAGAGGGGTTCAGTGAGGTGAGAGGGGGTTCAGTGAGGTGAGAGAGGGGTTCAGCGAGGTGAGAGGGGGTTCAGTGAGGTGAGAGGGGGTTCAGTGAGGCGAGAGAGGGTTCAGTGAGGCGAGAGAGGGGTTCAGTGAGGTGAGAGAGGGGTTCAGTGAGGTGAGAGGGGGTTCAGTGAGGTGAGAGGGGTTCAGTGAGGTGAGAGGGGGTTCAGTGAGGTGAGAGGGGGTTCAGTGAGGCGAGAGAGGGGTTCAGTGAGGTGAGAGGGGGTTCAGTGAGGTGAGAGAGGGGTTCAGCGAGGTGAGAGGGGGTTCAGTGAGGTGAGAGGGGGTTCAGTGAGGCGAGAGAGGGTTCAGTGAGGCGAGAGAGGGGTTCAGTGAGGTGAGAGAGGGGTTCAGTGAGGTGAGAGGGGGTTCAGTGAGGTGAGAGAGGGGTTCAGCGAAGCGAGAGGGGGTTCAGTGAGGTGAGAGGGGGGTTCAGTGAGGTGAGAGGGGGGGTTCATCACCACTCATCACCTACCCATCAGTAGTCAACACCTACCAATCATCACTCAACACCTACCCATCATCATTCAACACCCACCTATCATCATTCAGCATCCACCTATCAACAGTCAACACCCACCTATCATCATTCAACACCCACCTATCATCATTCAGCACCCACCCATCATCATTCAACACCTACCCATCATCATTCAACACCCACCCATCATCATTCAACACCCACCCATCATCATTCAACACCCACCCATCATCATTCAACACCCACCTATCATCATTCAGCACCCACCCATCATCATTCAACACCCACCCATCATCATTCAACACCCACCCATCATCATTCAACACCCACCCATCATCATTCAACACCCACCCATCATCATTCAACACCCACCCATCATCATTCAACACCCACCCATCATCATTCAGCACCCACCCATCATCATTCAACACCCACCCATCATCATTCAACACCCACCCATCATCATTCAACACCCACCTATCATCATTCAGCACCCACCCATCATCATTCAACACCTACCCATCATCATTCAACACCCACCCATCATCATTCAACACCCACCCATCATCATTCAACACCCACCCATCATCATTCAGAACCTACCCATCATCATTCAACACCCACCCATCATCATTCAGCACCCACCCATCATCATTCAACACCCACCCATCATCATTCAGAACCTACCCATCATCATTCAACACCCACCCATCATCATTCAAACCTACCCATCATCATTCAACACCCACCCATCATCATTCAGAACCTACCCATCATCATTCAACACCTACCCATCATCATTCAACACCCACCCATCATCATTCAACACCCACCCATCATCATTCAACACCCACCCATCATCATTCAGAACCTACCCATCATCATTCAACACCTACCCATAATCATTCAACACCCACCCATCATCATTCAACACCCACCCATCATCATTCAACACCCACCCATCATCATTTAACACCCACCCATCATCATTCAACACCCACCCATCATCATTCAGAACCTTACCCATCATCATTCAACACCCACCCATCATCATTCAACACCCACCCATCATCATTCAGAACCTACCCATCATCATTCAACACCCACCCATCATCATTCAACACCTACCCATCATCATTCAACACCCACCCATCATCATTCAACACCCACCCATCATCATTCAGAACCTACCCATCATCATTCAACACCCACCCATCATCATTCAACACCCACCCATCATCATTCAACACCCACCCATCATCATTCAACACCCCCCCATCATCATTCAGAACCTACCCATCATCATTCAACACCCACCCATCATCATTCAGCACCCACCCATCATCATTCAACACCCACCCATCATCATTCAGCACCCACCCATCATCATTCAGCACCCACCCATCATCATTCAACACCCATCCATCATCATTCAGCACCCACCCATCATCATTCAGCACCCACCCATCATCATTCAACACCACCCATCATCATTCAGCACCCACCCATCATCATTCAACACCCACCCATCATCATTCAACACCCACCCATCATCATTCAGAACCTACCCATCATCATTCAACACCCACCCATCATCATTCAACACCCACCCATCATCATTCAACACCCACCCATCATCATTCAACACCCACCCATCATCATTCAACACCCATCCATCATCATTCAGCACCCACCCATCATCATTCAGCACCCACCCATCATCATTCAACACCCACCCATCATCATTCAGCACCCACCCATCATCATTCAACACCCACCCATCATCATTCAGCACCCACCCATCATCATTCAGCACCCACCCATCATCATTCAACACCCATCCATCATCATTCAGCACCCACCCATCATCATTCAGCACCCACCCATCATCATTCAACACCCACCCATCATCATTCAACACCCACCCATCATCATTCGCACCCACCCATCATCATTCAGCACCCACCCATCATCATTCAACACCCACCATCATCATTCAACACCCACCATCATCATTCAGCACCCACCCATCATCATTCAACACCCACCCATCATCATTCAGCACCCACCCATCATCATTCAACACCCACCCATCATCATTCAGCACCCACCCATCATCATTCAACACCCACCCATCATCATTCAACACCCACCCATCATCATTCAACACCCACCCATCATCATTCAGCACCCACCCATCTTCTCGTGTGACGCATATCTGAGATGACCTCTAGTGTGACGTGTGTCTGAGACGACCTCTCCTCGTGTGACGTGTCTGAGACGACCTCTCCTTGTGTGACGTGTCTCAGACGACCTCTCCTCGTGTAACGTGTCTCAGACGACCTCTCCTCGTGTGACGTGTCTCAGACGACCTCTCCTCGTGTGACGTTTCTGAGACGACCTCTCCTCGTGTGACGTGTCTGAGACGAACTCTCCTCGTGTGACGTGTCTCAGACGACCTCTCCTCGTGTGACATTTCTTAGACGACCTCTCCTCGTGTGACGTTTCTGAAACGACCTCTCCTCGTGTGACGTATCTGAGACGACCTCTCCTCGTGTGACGTGTCTGAGACGACCTCTCCTCGTGTGACGTATGTCTGAGGCGACTTCTTCTTGTGTGACGTATGTCTGA